GAGCTAATAGGATATAATCATTTATATGATCAAAATTAAATTAAGTACTCACCTGCACGCAGTCCACTTGTAAGCTATTCCGGTAACGTTGGCATGCATGGCTTCCTGCACCTCACGTCTATTATAATACCTTTCAGCATACATCTCAGTGCAGGGATCATACCCCCTCCGTCTTAGCAAGCGGTTACCAAGAAACAATAATCCACTCCTCCCCAGCCTGGTCGGCATCCTCCGGCTGGCGGCGAAGGAAGAATTTTCCGGCGAGGTGGCGGTGGCTGCAGGGCAAGAAGGGGTATAGATACTGTACTGATCAATATCGCCAAACTCATGGTTCATGGCGTAGGAGATGGAGCTATCGCATGGCGAGGAAGTGGAAGGAGAAGAGAAGTTGCAGGAGGAGATAATGGAGTGGTAGGTTCGGTCGGAGATCATGGAGTGAGTCCACCAGTAGGTGACGGTGCCGAAGCTGTCGTAGTTGTTGTCTGTGACGGCGTTTCCCACCTGTAAATGCCGGGGATCCCATCGCCCCGGAGAGGTGAGTGATGATGATTATATCTTAGTTTCTCTGTATTAATTGCAACTATGCTGATAGCACATGGATGTGATTGTTCAAAAATAATATTAAGTGTGAAGTATGCATATGATTGCCATGACTTTGTACAACAGTAAACAAATTTATGGTACAAGGAGTTTGCATGCGAACCAACTTCATACCAAATATCATTACAATGGTTCAAGCCTATAGCTTAAAAAACAGTTAGGGGCACGTCACATATAAAAAATATCACTATTTTAAATAAATCTTTTCATGCATGCATATATTGTGTGTATATGTAAGAATAAAAATTTAGATATTACATATATAAATACATATGAAATAAGTGGTATGTATGTAAATCTTCCAAAAGTTACTTCTATTGCAATTTGCATCGTATACATAAGCTCTTGTTTGGCTTTTTAGTTGGCTCCTAGTTTTAATTTTATCATGCATTTATCTTTTGGAGATATTAATACATTATCTCAGTACTTAAAATGACTAATTCTTGCTTAACTATATATATATATAGATAGATAATGTATGATTGTTTCTAAATAAATGCTATAAAATAATATAAAAATTTACATTCATACCAGACAATTTTTGTCAATTTATATATTTAGCACTTAAAATTTGATATTTATATTTATCACACTTTAGTGTCATAAATATATGCATATATATATATATATATATATA